AATTTGGGCTGAGCATTAAAGAGTTTAACCTGGAAGGATGAGAAAGAAAAGAACTCCATGAAGTAGAAACAGTGCAAGTGGATATGGAAAAGAGATGCCACTGGTTATTATTAAGAAACTATTAATATTCTGTTTTACTCTAGTGGCACTTCTTGAAAGGGAGCAAATATGAGAATAACTGCAGAAGGGTAAGCTGGAGTGAGATTAGTAGACAGTGATTTAGTCAGCAGAAATTTTTGAGCAGCGTCGCAATGTTATCAGAGATTTCTTTTAGGAAGATTAATTTGGTAGTAGCATAGCTCAATTGCAGGAAAAAGTAAAACAGTGAAAACGTTTTAGGTGTTCATTTAAATATCCCAATTTGGAGGCAAGGAAGGCCAAAATAGGGTGGTGGAAATGAATGATAAGGGGATTTAGTATTGAATATGAAAAATTTGAGATATAATAGACACAGAATTGGTAGAATTTGATAATCCATCGAATGTGGTGATGTAGGGAAGCTGGGAGAAAGAACAGCCAAGATGAATGCCAATATGCAGTTATAATAAACATTGGAGTTTGAGTGTAGGGTTATATTGAGAGTCTGAGGAGCTGGGGCTAGCTAGCACTGTGGCATAGTGGGTTAAGCTGCCTCCTGCAACACTGGCATCACACAAGTGCTGGCTTGAGTTCCGGCTGTTCCACTTCCTATCCAGCTCTCTGCTGATGTGCCTTGAAAAGCAGCAGAGGATGGCCTAAGTGCTTGGGCCCTTGCACCCACGTGGGAAACCCAGAGGAAGCTCTTGGCTCTTGGCTTCAGCCTGGCCCAGCCCGGACTGTTGCAGCCAATTGGGGAGTGAATAAGCCAATGGAAGATCTCTGTCTCTGTGACTCTACCTTTCAAATAAGTAAAATAAATCTAAAACAAAAAAAGAGTTTGAGAAGCCATCTCCATATAACTATCATTGATACCACATGACTTGCAAAGGGAGAATCAAGAGAAAGGGAGCACAGAGGAAGTTATAACCTGGGGAAAACACTTATATTCAGGAATGAATTACATTAAAAAAAGAAGCAAGGAGGAGGCACCAGATAAAGAATAATTCAAAAAAGTAAAAGGAAGAGAACAAGAAAATAGTATTGGGGAAAGCCAGGAAGTTTCAAGCACAGAAGAGCGACAAAATCACTGAAATGTTAAAACAAATTCAAAATAAATGAGAATTTAGGAAAGATCACTAGAATTTGTAAACAAAGAGATCATTATCAGTGGTCTTAGAGTAATTTCAGTGAGAAAAAAATTTGATTTATAGTATATTTTACTGTACTTACCACAATCTGCTCTGTATTAAACCTATTTGAACATGAACAATGGGAAGCAAATATATATATATATATGCACACATATGTATATATAAAATTTATTTCCTTATTTCACAAGGTTCTTTGGACAAGTATAAGTTGTTCAATAAACATTTATTGAATTAAATTTAATCAGATTAAACTGAAATAAATTGGGTTCTATTGCATTGTAGTATATTACTCTACTGTAAGAAGGCATAAAGAAGTGAGAGAGAATGGCAACATACAGAAATGATTCTTTTTAAAATTTGGGAGCAATGCAAAAAATGACCTAAATGAAAGATCTCTGTGAGTTAGATCCCAGTGGAAAGAACAGGCCATCAAAGAAGGAGGTATCTTTCTCTGAAGGGAGAAAAGAACTTCCACTTTGATTATGGACTTGTATAAATAAGGTCAGAGTTTGTGAACTCAAGAGACTTCCATAGCCTTGGCAGCTTATGACAAGAGCCTCGGGTGATCACTGATGTCATAAATAAGATTGTTAATTGTTAAATCAACAACAGGAGTTATTGTGCACTTACTCCTCATGTAGGATCTCTGTCCTTAATGTGTTTATACTATGAAAATTAAAAATAGTACTCAAACAGTACTTTATACTTTGTGTATCAGTGTGGGTGCAAACTGATGAAATCTTTAGTTAGTATATACTAAGTTGATCTTCTGTATATAAAGATAATTGAAAATGAATCTTGTTGAAGAATGGCATGGGAGAGGGAGTAAGAGATGGGATGGTTTATGAGTGGGAGAGTGGTTATGGGGAGGGGAACCGCTATAATCCAAAAGTTGTACTTTTGAAATTTATATTTATTAAATAAAAGTTTTCTTTCTTTCTTTTTTTTTTTTTATAGGCAGAGTAGACAATGAGAGAGAGAGACAGAGAGAAAGGTCTTCCTTTTTCCGTTGGTTCACCCCCCAATGGCTGCTGCAGCTGGCGAGCTGTGGCTGGTGCACCGCGCTGATCCGAAGCCAGGAGCCAGGTGTTTTTCCTGGTCTCCCATGCGGGTGCAGGGCCCACTGCCTTCCCGGGCCACAGCAGAGAGCTGGCCTGGAAGAGGGGCAACCAGGACAGAATCCGGCACCCTGACCAGGACTAGAACTTGGGGTGCTGGTGCCGTAGGCAGAAGATTAGCCTATTGAGCCACAGCACCAGCCTAAAAGTTTTCTAAAAAAATTGGGAGCAATGGTAATAAGAGAAAGAAGAAAGCAAAAGAAAAGTCAAGTAAGGTTTTGTTAGTTGAAAGCTGTTAGAGTTTGCACCTTCTTCTAGGTACAGAAAAAGAATCCAGCTTGAGGGAGAAGGTGAAGGCAGGCAAAGAGAATATTGGGATCGTTCTCTACAGAGAATGAAGGATGTGATGGTATAAAAATTCAACAAGCTTGACACTTCCGACTTTGGGATTTATTACTTTGTGTCAATAATAATTCAATAAAAATAGACTTTAAAATATACCTCAAGGAGGACTGGGTTAAGGGTTCAATTAGAGGTTACTGAATTCCTCTGAAATAGGCAGGAAGCTGTTGTTCATCAAATCTTAAAACTGTACTTCTTCAATCCTAAAGGAGGTTATTTTAGAAATAAAAGCGCTATGTCATGTGAGTTTTTATTTTGAACTAAATAAGTGGAACATGGTTCTTAGTTTTTATCCAGTATATAGCATCAATTCCCTATCTGGATGAACTCAGTGACTATTACTACACATGAAGCAAACATAGAGCTCAACCACCACCCACACTTTCTTAAGAAAGTGTGTTTAGTACTCTCCTATGTCCATAGATTCATATTAGGTGCTGATTAAGTTCAGAACAATGAGTTCATATGAGTGGCATTCAGAAAGTTCAAGGAAAATGGAATTAATAGATAAGTTTATTTTGGTGCAAAAAATTTTGGAGTCCATGATATAATTCACATTGAAGTTTGAGTGCAAATTTATATCAGAGTTTGAGGCACTGTAGGCATAACCCATGCAGGTTTTTGTAATATGCATTTTGCATTAATTTTTGAAGACTCTTTGTTATTCACCAAACTAAGATAGAAACCATTTTTTACAGCAAGGAGTTCTTGGAACACTACAGTAAGTACTCTGAAAAAAATATTCCAAGGTCAAATTAGTTTGGGAAACAGTATGTACTATAACCTTCCCTTGGATATTTTACAGTGTTTTATCATGTTAAAGGCTATAAGGCATTGATGCAGTAGGGAATATTTTTAGCTTTGTCCAAACTTGCATTTTCTTTATATTCTTTTTTTTTATTTGACAGGTAGAGTTATAGACAGAGAGAGAGAAAGGTCTTCCTTCCGTTGGTTCACCCCACAAATGGCCACTAAGGCCAGTGTAGCGCCGATCCGAAGCCAGGAGCCAGGTGCTTCCTGCTGGTCTCCCATGTGGGTGCAGGAGCCCAAGCACTTGGGCCATCCTCCACTGCCTTCTCGGGCCACAGCAGAGAGCTGGACTGGAAGAGGAGCAACCAGGACTAGAACCCGGTTCCCATATGGGATGCCGGCACCGCAGGTGGAGAATTAACCTAGTGAGCCATGGCACCAGCCCCCAAACTTGCATTTTCTAAACTTATTTGAGCATAAGAAATTTATTTTCCAACATAACTCATTCTACCCTATATAACCAGGTTTTCAATAGAACTTACATTAGTGGAAATGCTAATTTAAGGAAATCCAATAATGACAAATCCACAGAAAATAACTGGGCAGTAGATATACAAGATCCATCTCAAACCTCTAAGGGTGATGTTATAACAAGTATAATATGATACCATATTTCCATGGTGTTTTCAGGTATTTAAAAGATACTTAACTGAATAGAGTATTAGTTTAACTCATGAAAATATTGAGTGCTGGGGGCCGGCACTGTGGTGTAGTGGGTAAAGCCGCTGCCTGCAGTGCTGGCATCCCATATGGGAGCCATATGGGTTCCAGTCCCGGCTGCTCCTCTTCCACTCCAGCTCTCTGCTATGGCCTGGGAAAGCAGTGGAAGATGGCCCAAGCCCTTGGGCTCCTGCATCCTCATGGGAGATCTGGAAGAAGCTCCTGGCTCCTGGCTTCAGATTGGCACAACTCCAGCTGATGAGGCCATCTGGGGAGTGAACCAGAGGATGGAAGACCTCTCTCTCTCTCTCTCTCTCTCTGCCTCTCCTTCTCTCTCTGTATAACTCTGATTTTCAAGTAAATAAATAAATCTTTTTTTAAAAAAAGAAAAAATATTGAGTTCTGAAAAATAAAACTACAGAAAGAAGCCAGAGAAGAGAAACAGAGATGGTAGAAGACATGGAAAAAGGGACTCATAAGGTACTAAAGGATTTAGGATGATTCAGTTTTGAGAACAGATGGAGTAAGTGTAAATAACTACATGAAGGTCTCTAAGGTTATACACTGTCTAGTGGATAGTAATCTCTATTTCCACAATGAGCAGAAGAGATTAAGCATTAAACTACAAAATAGAAAAATAAAACTAGATTTAAAGAAATAATATTCTCACATGTGAAAAATTAATAGCAGAAATAGCCTTTCTGTGTTGTCAGTCATAGGTCTTCTTATTTGTCATGGAAGGCATAAGTATGTTCTTGCTTGGCTGCAAGGGGCTAGAAGTGATAACCTTCTGTACTATTAATCTGAAATTGCTGGGTATTTGAGCCGCCATTTTCCTTACTTGAATTTCCCCAGCCATGAGTCAGCAATGGCTGCTCCCAGGATGGGAGTGAAATAGCAGAGGCTGCTGAAGGCATGGTAGACAGATGTGGAGGTGTCCTCATTCCAGTGCAGGAAATACAGGAAATACAGGGTAAGCACAGCTACGGTGCAAAAAAAGGAGACAAAACAAGATCAATATGTTACAGTGACATGGAGAAGTATATTCGATCTCTGGTCTTTAAAGTTGCTCCTGGCTTTTGGCACTTCCATCAGTGAAGTAACAAAGGGGTGACTGCCACCAGGCAGTAGCAGCAGGGCCATGAGAGTCGTGGGAGTCGACAGGGTTATACTGACTATACACATAAAATACTCCCCCTTCAGTCTATGTGCACTCATAATGGCATTGAGGACAATTACAAAGACAACATGGTGATTCTGAGATTCTCTTTTTCCTCTTTCCCAAGCGACAATATGATTTTTAGACCTGACAAACAAGTGTCAGGAATGGAATTGTGATGATGAGAGCTTTCCCGCCTAGGTTCTCACAGGCTGTGTCCTGCTTTCTGTCAGGTCTTTCAAATCTTGGCTTGCATGAGCTATTATATAAAATCCTATGAAGCATTTGCTGAAGATTTTGGCTGAAGGAAAGGACCAATTTGGACCAAGGCAGAAAAAGTAGTTAAGGGAAATAAGTGTACACAAGGAGAGCGGGGAGTTAAAAACATGGGGTGAGTAGGACCCTGGACATCAAATTACCTTTCATGCCATAATAGGAAAAACGCTCGCAGAATTCATTCACCACAATGAAGGCAATGCTCAGTGGATAGTTGGAGCCACAGATTTTCTGTGCAACAGAAAGGCAATGGTTCAAGCATGAGCTATTTTTGTCTACTTTAAACACTAGATTGCTCCACAACTGAGATTCATTTATTTAAGTGGCTATAATGGGTGATATGGAGCAATGGTCTCTACCCTTCATGAAACATCTATTATCACATTAAAAGTACTCATATTTCTAATTTAAGAGTAACAGAAACTAATGGGATGCTATCTTGTTCCTTATTTATTTAATATGCTACTGCTCATACATTTCTTGTTCTAGGACCTGCTGATTTCCCACAATTGTTAAATGACTGGGTCTCTGGGCTAAAGAATAATCATATTTATTTCTAGCAACAGAATGAAGAGGTGGCCTATGAAGTGAGTACCTGAAATCCAGATAGTATCCTGCTTAGTGCTACTTTGGGGATTTACCCCTCTTGTCTGCATCTGGTTCATTTGCCCTACTGGGAGAAACCCTGGAATTAGGCTGGTTTCCCCCTCAGAGGCTGCTGGAGCCAGACACAGGGCTCAATATGGAAGGCAGAGATTTCTAAAGGTAAGCTGACTGATTACTTAGACTTTGGTCAAAGTGCTTAGGTCCCCTAAAATTAAATGCCCACTATTCCTACTAAGGATATTCTATAAAATTTTCATGATATTCTTACTGGACATTAAAGGGATTATGTTATATCATGCACTATACCAATCAAGACATAAGAAATGTCATGTTTTATTTCAACCTCTACCTTTATAATAAGTCACATGAGATGCAGGTGGAGATATCTGTTCTTGAAACAGTCAAATCTTATCATAAGATTTATATTGCCTCTTATTTCATAGGAGGTATACACATCTTTGTTAACAGATTTCAATACTTTGGAACCAGAAGTGATATAACTAATTTTAAAAATATTTATAAAAAATTAGCACTTTCATTCTTTTACCCATATATATAGACATTCATTAACAATCCTCCAAATTTATGAAAGTATGTTAATGCACCACAAAGAACTGGGCATCCTATCTTCCCAGCTCAGAGTTGGAGAATCCTGCAACTAAGAGTTTGGTTAATGTACTTCACTATCTGTAACACAGTTGCTGGCTGTGTTAACATACTGACACACTAGCCATATCGCTACATCTGTCTCTATGCCTTAGCTCTGTTACTCCAAAGAAATGAGAATAATACTACCTCTTGGCCTACAGTAAGGATTCAGTAAATCCTGGATATTATTACTATATCCTCTCCAATTACAGGATTTTGGCATGAGGATAAATGAAATAATAAATTTGGAAGTGTTTTAACAAGCATGCAATACAAAACATTACAGCTTCTTTGTCTTACCTCCCACTGTAAACTGGGAACACACAGTAACAGAGATGGGCTCTCATCTAAAACTTCTGTTGGTGTCCAGCAGAAGGCTCTGTACACCGGGGGAACTAAGGGCTGAGTTTTTGTATTGGTAAAGAAGGAACAATCACACACAGTTCTCTAGACAGGAATGCTTGCCAAGTTTCCCTGGACATTCAAATTGCCTTTTTCCCTCCTAGAGAAACTCCAAAAATGCAATGAAATACAGCAGAGCTCTGGATCCCAGTAGAAGAACTCTGACTCCCTCTTCTTGCTGTTTCCTTTTCTAAGTAAAGGAAGCTTCGACTTAGATTTTGTTTGCAGGTGAATTCTGACTCCAAGAGAGAATAGTTCTAATAATCTAGCACAGCTCAGCCTGAAGCTTCAGAGGCCATGGACAGAAGCCAAAAGAAGACAGCTACTGCTGCCAGAGGCCAAACTGAATTTGGAGACTTACCGGAGGTGTCTTCTTTGCCGGGCTGGAGAGTCGAGGTGGTGTCTCTTCAGTGGAGACAGGTGAAAAAAGAGTTTCCTTGGACTCATTTTGCTGGAAGGGATTCATGGCTGGCTTCTTTCTCTCTCCTCAAGCATTTGGCTTCAGTAGGCAGTTAGGACAGCTGCCAGACTACAGTGAAAAGGGGTACTGGGTGTGTGGGGGGGGAGAAGGGGTGGTTTCAGCAACTAGGTTTAACCCTGTGGGTGTCAGTTTCAGTAACTGCCTGATTGAGAGCAAAGCAGGAAGCTATAGGAAAAGAAAGGGCTGGTGTTCTAGTTTAAAAGAACGATTGTATAAAAGGTAAACATGGGGAAAGGAAAACACCTTACAAGTCACAAGAGTGATGAGCCAATGCTAGAAAATTGTCAAGGAAATGTACATTTCAGAAAGATTACCTTTGCAAATACCTACAAGATAGCTCAGAAAAGAGTGCCTGAGCACAGATCAAAACACTGATATGAGGGTACCGGTAGCTGCTTTATTGAGCACCTATTATGTGCAAGGTTAATATAAATATATGTGAAGTACATATGTAATATGTATATATAACATAAGTATTTGTTCTATTTCTTACTACTATCCTTGTTTTATAGAAACTAATGTTCGAAGAAATTAAGAAATTTTTCCAATGTAACATTGTCAGTAAGTGATAAATGTGGAATTTTTATTATGCTATGATAGGAAGGGTAGAGATTGCTATCTGTGAAACTTTGGCCATTATTCAGGTATGGAAGCTATGTAAATGGAAGTAGGAATGTAGGTGAATTGAAATGCATTAAAGAGGAAAGGTCATCACAAAATTGAACTTGAGGTAAAAGGAGTTGGTTGTAGTTACTGATATTGTAAAGGTCAGCTAAAAATATCATTTAAGCAATTTAAAAAGTGGGGGTCCAGAAAATGAGAGGAAAAGATTGGTAATGTACATTTGGGAATCATTTTTCTTTGCTAAAGTCAGTTTTCATTTTCTCATTTCAAGATGAAACCCCCTTTCATTAAAGAAATAAAATTTAATTTGTGCAAAAATTATGTTCTAGGTACTGTCTGCAAAAACAGTTATGTTCTAGGTACCAGTGCAAACATTACTTTTCTTAATTCTCAGTGGATGGACTCTCTAACTACTCTAGAATATTATATTTAGACCTTATCAGAGAAGAAACGAGAACAAAGATGATGACAATAGATGCATTTTATACCATGCTATTTTTGCTATGTCAAGGAGGGAAAGAACAAGAGCATGGTGTCCCTCTAGTTGTCAGTCAAAAGAAAAGAGAAAACAATGGTTAAGAGTTATGCAAAGGCATAACCACAAGGAAGTCTGGCAATTCCAGAATAAACTGCTTTGAGAATATGAGAGAGAAAACCTATGATTCTATTTCTTGCAAAATAGAATTCTTACATTACCTACTTGAATAATTCATTGACAAATAAGGTCTTTTCCTCCCTAAACTTTAACTCAGACTTTGACCACATCTTCTCCGCTTCTATTACACCCTTCATTTCCTCTCTCTCCCACCAACCTGTACCCAAAGGAGGGTCCAGCTTCATTTCTGAATGTGGTATTAATGAATAACCATAGTTATTCTTTTTGTTAATCACTCTGTATGTAAAACAAATGAGCAGTCAGAAATAACTAGTTAAGGGGCCAGCGCTGTGGTGCAATGGGTTAAAGCCCTGGCTTACAGTGCCGGCATCCCATATGGGCGCCGGTTTGAGACCTGGCTGCTCCACTTCCAATCTAGCTCTCTGCTATGGCCTGGGAAAGCAGTAGAAGATGGCCCAAGTCCTTGGGCCCCTGCACCCGCATGGGAGACAGAGGAGGCTCCTGGCTCCTGGCTTCGGATCAGTGCAGCTCTGGCCATTGCGGCCAATTGGGGAGTGAACCATTGGATGGAACACGTCTCTCTCTCTCTCTGCATCTCCTCTCCCTGTGTACTCAAATAAATAAATATTTAATTAAAAAAAAAAGAAATAGCTAGTTAACTAGTGGAGGTACAGATGTTTGAAGACCTAACTATGTTGGTGAATTTCCTTATTCTGTCATTTCTACTGCTAGAACAGCTTTTGATCTGGGAGAGTAGGTGGATCAGCATTTGTACGCAATGCACTAATTCATTTGTGCTCATATAAACCCTTAGTTCCAAATTTGAGATTCTTGGCATTGATTTTCTTACACTTTTGTTTAGATGAAGTTCTCTTGATAATGGCAATATATTATTATAGTATTCATAGAATAAAATACTATCAAAGATGGCAGCAATCTTAATCTTGTCCTATGTAAATTCAATTTTCCTGATGATAAGCATCATTTAGGGAGGTTCTTAGGTCCCTACTGAGATCTACTGAATCAGAATTTTTCAAGGGAAATGATCATATATAAGAACTTGTGTTTTTAAACAAGTACCTCTAGTGATTCTTATGTCAGGTATTTGAGAAACACTAATTTAAAACCCCTCTCCTGTTCTATCCTGAAGAGTATTTCAGAGGAGCTCAGAAGGGACAGAGAAAGGACTTGAGTCGCAGGCACCATCTAGGTCCATTTATATCAAATCAAGGTACTTCTTATACTCAGTATCTTTTCTAAGTTGATAACAGTTAGAAAGCACCTTCCCAATAGAAATGAGCACTTTTCAAAGACAATAAACTTTCAAAAGAAAATAAAAGTGGAGGAACCTAAATATCAGAATCAATTAGGGATAAGAATAAAGAATACTTGTTGCTTCTGTGATATGACATTAGAGAAAGATGTTTTACAGTCATATGTAGAAAGGAGACTGAAGCTGTAAAGTGATAGACACCAATGTAGTCAGAGAGTAGAGGCAAATATGAGATCAAAAGAGAACATGTGTTTAACATGGACCTTGAATATAAAGTCAGCTCACAAAAATAAATTGCATTTAAATATCAGCATCAAAGAAAGAAAAAAAGAGAGTTTTAATAGGAATTATAGGCCGGCGCCGTGGCTCAATAGGCTAATCCTCCACCTTGCGGCGCCGGCACACCGGGTTCTAGTCCCGGTTGGGGCGCCGGATTCTGTCCCGGTTGCCCCTCTTCCAGGCCAGCTCTCTGCTGTGGCCAGGGAGTGCAGTGGAGGATGGCCCAGGTGCTTGGGCCCTGCACCCCATGGGAGACCAGGAAAAGCACCTGGATCCTGGCTCCTGCCATTGGATCAGCGCGGTGCGCCGGCTGCAGCGGCGGCCATTGGAGGGTGAACCAACGGCAAAGGAAGACCTTTCTCTCTCTGTCTCTCTCTCTCACTGTCCACTCTGCCTGTCAAAAATTAAAAAAAAAAAATAGGAATTATATACATTATAGTTTTAAGGACTTTGTGACTATTTTAATAGTTATTTTATATGAGTGAAGATGAAAATGTTTTCATTTGATTATTGCTTCTAGCTCTTGCTTATGTTCTTGCTGGACTATGGTCTTTTTACTTTTACTTGTTGAACTCTTAATTTATTAGAGCCATTAAACCTTTGCCTACAATGTAAATTAAAAATATGTTATCTCGGCGAGCGCCGCGGCTCAATAGGCTAATCCTCCACCTAGCGGTGCCGGCACACCGGGTTCTAGTCCCGGTCAGGGCACTGGATTCTTTCCCGGTTGCCCTTCTTCCAGTCCAGCTCTCTGCTGTGGCCCGGGAAGGCAGTGGAGGATGGCCCAAGTGCTTGGGCCCTGCACCCCATAGGAGACCAGGAGAAGCACCTGGCTCCTGCCTTCGGATCAGCGCGGTGCGCAGGCCGCAGCACTCCAGCCGTGGCGGCCATTGGAGGGTGAACCAACGGCAGAAGGAAGACCTTTCTCTCTCTCTCTCTCTCTCTCTCTCTCACTATCCACTCTGTCAAAAAAAAAAGTTATCTCAAAAAATGATAAATAAAATATTGAACAAAAAGATCAGCTCTAACAGCATAACAATAAATCTCTTGAAAGAGGTTCAAGAACTTAACACTAAAAACTATAAAATTATCCTGAAAGAAATTAAAGAAGTTCCAAGTAAATGAAGACATACCATGCTCACTATTTGGAAGGCTCATATTATAAAGATGTCAATATCCCCCAAGTCAACCTACAGTTTCAACACAAAATCTGTCAGTGTAGAAAACAAATGGATTTTAAAAATTCACATGGAAATGCAAAATAAAATTCAAGAATAGAAAAGCTAATCTTGAAGAATTGTGGGGAACTTGTACTATCTAATCTAACACCTATTATAAAGCTATTGTAAATGTAACAAAATGGATTGACACATGACAGATAAGGCAATAAATGGAACAGAATAAAGTTCAGAAAAAGATTCACACATATACTTTCTTATTTTTTTAATTTTTTCAGAGCGAGAGAGGTCTCCCTTCCATTGGTTCACTCCCCAAATGGCTGCCAAGGCCAGCATTGCACCGATCTGAAGCCAGGAGCCAGGTGCTTCTCCCTGGTCTCCCATGCAGGTGCAGGGGCCCAAACACTTGGGCCATCCTCCATTGCCCTCCCGGACCACAGCAGAGAGCTGGACTGGAAGAGGAGCAACCAAGACTAGAACCGGCGCCCATATGGGATGCCAGTGCTGCAGGCAGAGGATTAACCAAGTGAGCCACGGTGCCAGCCCTCCACACATATACTTTTCATGACAAAGGTGATGCTGCAGTAAATTGGGGAAAATGATGGTGTTTGCAAAAAAATAAAAACATCTGTAAATGTATATGTCAAATTATTGACTCTTACACATAAAAATCAATTCTATATGGATTGTAGATCTAAATATTGAAGTAGGAAAATAATTTTTAGAGGAAAACAGAGACCATCCTTATAAGTCTGAAGTGAGCTAAAATTTCTTAAATAAGACATAAAGTAGGGTAATCATAAAAAGTGATATGTTGGATGATATTAAGAACTTTTGTTTACCAAAGTCATCATTAAAAGATAACTTATAGAGTGGGAAAAATATTCATGTTACATATATCTGTAAAAGAATTATGTCCAGAGTATATACAAAGCTCTAAAACTTTTTTTTTTATTTGACAGGTAGAGTTACAGAAAATGAGAGGGAGAGGGAGAAAGAAAGGTCTTCCTTCCATTGCTTCACTCCCCAAATGGCTGTAATGGCTGGAGCTATGCCGATCCGAAGCCAGGAGCCAGGTGCTTCTCCTGGTCTCCCTTGCAGGTGCAGGGGCCTAAGCATTTGGGCCATCCTCCACTGCCTTCC